TCCTCTGGGGCACACATGCACCTACGGCCGGCATGAGTTTCAAGCAGCTGGGTCCAGTACTCAAACTGTGATTGACCACATGGGAGTCCAGCAACTTAACCACTATGTTACCTCCTGGATCTGACCCTTCTTATATTCTTATAGGGTTTATTTCCAGACTCTCAATTCTATTATATTTATTTATATATCAGTCCTTATAGTGGTACCACAGTGTCTTGGTTACTATAGATTTTTAGTAAGTTTTGAAGTTCAGAAGTGTGAGTTATCCAACTTTGTTCTATTTTTTCAAACTTAGTTGTTTTGAATCCTTTTTTTTTTCCATATGCATTTTATAATCAGGTAAACAATTTCTTCAAAGAAGGCACCTGGAATTTTGATAGGGACTGTAATTGGTAGAGCAATTTGAGGACTATTGCTATCTTAACAATATTAAGTCTACATAGTTACTGGACATCTTTTTGTTTATTTAGCTCTTTATTTCAACAATATTTTGTAGTTTGCAGTGTTCGAGTTTTTGTACTTCTTTTGTTAAGTTTGTCTATAATATTTTACTGTTTTTGTTACTAATGTACATGGAATTGTTTACTTATTTAATTTTCAGATTGCTCTTTGGTACTATATTGTGTTGTTGATTGGTATTGCGAATTTATTTTTTGTATTGATTTCATATCCTGCAACCTAGCTGAACTTGTTGATTAGGTTTTTTTTTGATTCCTTAGAGTTTTCTACATACAAGATAATGTCATCTGTGAATAGAGATAGTTTTGTTTATTCCTTTCCGATCTGGATTCCTTTTCTTCTTTTTTCTTGTTTAATTTCCCTGGCTAGGATCTTTAGTACAATGTTGAATAGGAGTGGTGTAAATGAACATCCTTTTCTTATTCCTGATCTCAGGGGTAAAGCATTTAATCTTTTACCTTTAAGTGTCTTTGTTGGGGATTTTTTGTAGGTATCTTTTATTAGGTTAAGGAAGTTCCTTCCAGTAGGTTGATCTGTATTTTTATCACGAAAGGGTGTGCGATATTGTCTAACTTTTTCAGCATGTATTGAGATCATCATGTGGTTTTCATCCTATTATTAACATGATATGTTACATCAGTTACTTTTTGGATATAAAACTAATGTTGAATTCCTAGAATAAATCTTTTTGGTCATGGTGTATAATTCATTTCATAGGTTGCTGGATACAGTTTGTTGAGGATTTTTACATTTATATTCCTAAGAGCTATTGGTCCATAGTTTTTTCATGATGTCTTTGATTTGGATATCAATAATAGTGGCCTTGTAGAATTAGTATGTATGTATCCTCTCCTATTTTGTGATGTTTGTTAAAGATTGGTATTCATCTTTAAATATGCTTATTTTTACTGTGGTATCCTTTGTAATTTACCCTCTACTATTATTAAACTGCAGTTCAGGCTTATAAATTGAAGAGAGGGGGCAAAAAGTTGAGTTTATGCTGATTGGTAGGACAATTGCTAGGTCAATTTCACTACATTGATAGTATAAGATTTGAAATAAAACTGTTGAGTCTTCATTTTACCATCTTCTGTTAAACAATGATGAAGTTCTGCCACTAAAAGACATGCTAAATTGCAGCAATGAGTGAAAATATCTTGAACTCAGGACCACAGATAGAAGATGTCTTACAGTGTCATTGCCCTCAGTGGAGCCTTTTGTGCATACCCAGCTCACTCTCTCCACTGCAAGAAGTCTTACCTGTAACTTCACTAGTCCAAATTAGTCTAGCAACATTATTTAAGAGTCTGTTAAGAAGTGTTGTACTTTCTTTCTCTTGAGTAAGAGAGTCTTCAGAACAAGGAGAGTTTGTTGAATCCCAGACATCACGTAAGGTAATACTAATAAAAAATATTTAGATTCACTTCGTACATGTTGCAAGGTAATTTTGGTCATTAATCACTGTGCCAACTCAGTGGGGAAAATTAGCACTGAAGAAATAATAACACCAGTGTTTACTAAGTAATTGCCATGTGCCAAACATTGTCTTAAATCCTCTTAATATTATCTCTTTTATTTTCCATCACAATATTATGAGGTCAATACTACTATTTTTTAAAAGAATTATTTATTTTAGAGACCAGCAGTTGGTGTAATGGCTATGTTGCTGAACTCTCATGTGGTTGACGGTTCGAGTCTTGGACCCAGTGGCTTAAACTCAAGCAGGGTGTGTGTGTGTGTGTGTGTGTGTGTGTATGCACCCAAGATCCTGAGAGAAGAATGGAGGAGAAGGGATTGTGGCATGGCCAGCCCCCTGGGGGGGTTGATTTCTCACTTTCTATCTCTCTCTCTCTGTCTTTCTGGCGAGTGTGTTGTTCTCCCAAAAAAAAGAGAATTATTTATCTTAATTTTATGTATTCATTCATGTATTTTAATTTGTCCAAACACACACACACACACACACACACACACACACATATGTATTCATTTATGTTTTTTTATTTGTCCAAACACACACACACACACACACACACACACACACACACACACACAGAAAGAGAGAGAGAGTAAGAAAGTAAGCCACCAGGTCTGGGACTCAACCATGGTCAGCCAGCCATGTGAGTGTGTCTAGCACCGTAACCCACCATGCCACCTGCTGGTCCCAAGGTCAATACTACTATTACTCTCCATTTTATATCTGAGAAAATTAAGAAGCAGAGAGGTAATTGACATTGCTTAGCGTCATGCGTAGAGAATACTGGAGCCAGAGTTTGACATAGGTTATGTGGCCTCAGATTCCAAACCAGATGTTAGAGTGGACTATGCAAAATCTTGAGCAGGGATTCAGAGTCAGGATGTTTGTAGTCTTAAGTTCAAGATTTAAAAGTTATCTATCTCTTTTGATATATAATAAATTTTGCAAGCAATATTTAAGAAATGCTTTTAGAATATATACACACATAGTACTGACACTTGAAATTAGACAACTTCTGCAGGAATAATGTAATAGGCAAGTTATTAAATTAAATATTTAGCGTTTATTGATATTATTACCATGTCTCCGGTAAGTGGTTTGCTCGTCTAAATTCATTGAATCTACACAAAGTATCTCTAAGAAATAGTAGTACTATTATCACCTCCATTATTAGATCAAGTCTCTAAGGCAGTGATATAAGTAGCTTGCACAAGATCAATTGGTAGTAAGAGACATAACCCAGGTTTGAACCTAGTCTTTCTTTCGAGCCTCTGTTCTTAACCATTTTGCTGTGTGGTTTATCTAAGTAAATAGCTAATGAATATGATCACAACAGTGCAGTCCTCTAAGAATGAAATTATAGATAAGACTGGATCATTGTATTTGTGAGTGTGGAATTAACTTTGAGTTACTTCTGTAAGAGTGAAGTACCATCTTACCATCTGTGGCAGGGAAATATACAGTGGCTGAATGGATGGGAAAGGTGGTTCTATAATATGAGACAACCTAAGAAAATATAGAAATAAGAAAACTTAATCATAAAAGAGAGTCTTTCGGCTTACGCTTTAACAGAAGTGAGAAAAAGACAGGTTATGGTATGCATTCAGAGGCTATAACTGGGCCTGAGGGAGTCACGGTCTGAGAGGGCTAGGGATTAAAAGCTCAGGAGAGAAAGGGACAGTTTGACAGAACAATTTTAGAAAATGATTTTGATAGGGACCAGCAGTTAGCGTAATGGCTGTGTCGCTGGACTCCCACGTAGTTGACCGCGGTTCGAGTCCCAGACCCGGTGGCTTAAACTCATGCTGGGCGCATGTGCGTGCATGCCCAAGATCCCGAGAGGAGAATGGAGGAAAAGGGATTGCGACGTGGCCATCCTCCCTGGGGGTTGAGTTCTCACTTTCTGTCTCTCTGTCTCTCTCTTTCTGGCGAACGCACAAGCGTATGCGCCCTATAGCAAAAACCTTTCCCCCCAAAAAAGAAAATGATTTTGATAGACTTTGTTGGCAGATACAGACTTTGAGTCAACAGTAGATTGATACAAACTTCAATTAAAAGTATTTCTAGTAATGTAAGAAGCATTTGGAATTAGCAAGAAAACCTGACCAGTTGGGAGTAGTGTTTCTCCTTTAATGCTAAAAATATAGTAAGTTTTCTTTTTTTTGTGGCAGTGAAACTAGAGATCTGAATTTATTAAACATTTTTCTTCATGGGAACACAAATGTTTTCCCAGACATTATTCTACAGTTTTCTTGCATAGTGTTCTACCATCAATGTGGGTCTATATATTTGGATCTCTGTGTTCCATCAGTCATTGAGCTAAATGTGTCTGGGCCAGTTTTTTCCCAGACATGTGGGTCTTCTGGTCTGCAGACATGACAGATTTTAGAGTATTCTTCTCTCCTTTTGTGGATGTGTTTATCTCTTGGTCACAAATGTTAATGTCCTTAAGAATTTATAGCAAGGGAACCAGCAGTTAGCGTAATGGCTATGTCGCTGGACTCCCACGTAGTCGACCGCGGTTCGTGTCCCGGACCCGGTGGCTTAAAACTCACGCTGGGCGCGTGTGCATGCGTGCCCAAGATCCCGAGAGGAGAATGGAGGAGAAGGGATTGCGGCGTGACCATCCCCCCTGGGGGGTGATTTCTCGCTTTCTGTTTCTATGTCTCTCTCTGTCTGTCTGGCGAGCGCACGTGCCCTACAGTGAAAATCTCACCAAATAAATAAATAAATAAATAAATAAATAAGAAATAAAAAAAAAGAAAGAAAAAAAGAATTTATAGCAATTGTGCAACCTTAAAGGATAATCCAAATTATCCACACAAAGAAAATCATGTAATGTTTTCATTGTGATGACTATTAAATTTAAGTTTCTAACTTATTTTTAACAAAAATTAAAATGAAATTCACACCAAAAACAAATAAACCAATATTGTCCACCCTTCTTATACTTTATATGCAAACAAAGATCAGCAAACATCAAATGTCAATATATAAGGGCTTTAAAAATCACTTTTGGCCTATTTCTACTTTCAAGGTTAACCTTACACTGACTTAATTTCTCAAGTCCTCACACAGGCATTCAAGAATACCAAGATGGTGTGCCCAAGATCCCAACAGCCTGTATTACAGTGGAAGATGCAGAAATGATGTCAAGAATGGCTTCTCATGGCCTCAAAATTGTCATTCAGCTAAAGATGGGGGCAAAAACTTACCCAGATGCCGATTCCTTCAACACTGTAGCAGAGATCACTGGAAGCAAGTATCCAGAGCAGGTGAGTGAAGGAGGGAATGGACTGTCCTGGAATAGCATGTTCTGATCAAGTGTGAGTTGTTAGAGGTAGTTTGGGAAAGTGAGAACATAAGTCTGCAGAGGTAGTCTTTCTAGACTCGTTAAAGGCAGAAGATTTGTGTGTATTTTTCCCCACCAAAAGTTTTATTACAGTGACTGCAGATGGCAGGAATAATGAAAGGGCAAATGGAATGCATGGTGTGGAAATTCAACTTCTGAATAGTTGAAAGTGCTATGTGTACATTCAAATACATTTGGAACTTATTCTACTTGGAACCAGATTGGCATGCGAGATCTTACCAATAGCTAATACTTATATGTGCTTATTGTGTGAATTGTCTCAGTTAATCCTTTTAAAACTCAGTGATGGAGGATCTATTTTCTTCATTTTACAGGTAAGGAAATTAACCCAGAGGGAAGCTTATTTTACCAAGGTCCACACAGCTGGTTAGTAGCTGAGAAGTGACTCTGACCCAGAATCTTGTGAATATTAAAATGAGCTTTAAACCACAGATAATATGCAATTTCCAGAGCTTATGTTTGTTTGTTTTTAAATAGTCTTAGAGGCAGATCCAATCTCAGTACTAACTTAATGTTAAATAGCTTAGGCAAGTTAGTTATCCTCTGAGTCTAAGGGAGCTTACTCACAAAGAAAGGATGGTCCATGTAACTAACAAATTATTGCAAGGACTAGACTAGATAATACACATCAGCCTCATACAGCATTTGGCACATCACAGGCACTCATTGAATATAAGTTTAATTTAAATGACATCAAAAATATGCACATACGGTGTTTAGAAAGTTTCAGGTACAAATCTCCTTTATTACTAGTTACTGGAATTCTTAAAATAGAACTTAAAATTATTCAGAAATTTTGGACTTATATTTCGTTTGACGCCATCAATGGGTAAAGGAAAAAGTGAACAGCCGTGGTGCTAATTATAAATAAACAAGCTTGCTGCACATGTAGGGGCTCAGGACTTCTCCCAGAATGAAGTGTCATGCTCTAATAAAGACTGGTTTTAGGTTTAAGACTCTTCTTTCTTTCCTAATTGCCTGTTTCCAGGACCTGAGCACCATCAACCCAGGGGCTGTAGCTAGAAGGATAATGGAAAAGTGGAATTTCAATCATATCGTATAGAAAGTCAGATAGATGGAAAGCAACTACGGTGTTGAATGTTGGGAAATCAAATAAATAAGTCCAATTCCTTGCCCTTTAGGACACTGATAACAACAGAAGAACCATAAGTCTACATTCTATGTATTGAGTAGTCAGAATTTAGAAAGTATAATCCTTTTTTTTTTTTTTGGAGAGATTTTCACTATAGGGCACGTTAGATCACCAGACAGACAGACAGAGACAGAGAGACAGAAAGCGAGAAATCACCCCCCAGAGGGGATGGTCACGCCGCAATCCCTTCTCCTCTATTCTCCTCTCGGGATCTTGGGCACGCACGCACACCCGCCCAGCGTGACTTTTAAGCTACTGGGTCCAGGACGCGAACAGCGTCGACTACGTGGGAGTCCAGCGACATAGCCATTACGCTAAACTGCTGGTTCCCTAGAAAGTATAATTCTTACCAGGGATGTTCTGGAGTCAATAGTTCCAGCATAAAGTTTTGCCACCTCCAGGTTGCTAGTCTAAGGCTTGAGGGGTTAGAGATTATTTACCTAAAAGTAAACCTACCAAATTTAAGTGTGTATTTGATGAGTTTTGAAAATGTATACAGTAATTACTACCACAATTAAAATAGAGATTATGTCAGTCATTCCTTTATATTGCTAGGTAATGCTTTACTGTGTGGCTGTATTACAATTTCTTTATCCCTTCAGCAGTTGATGGACACCCACTTTAACAAACAAACTAAACAACAAACTAAAAAATAAACGCACACACAAAGGGAGTTGTGCTCAGTTTGACCTTATTGGGGAGTAAATTGATCTTAAATCAGGATTTTATTGCACTTGTAGGAGAGACTCTAACTGATAGCAGATTCTCTAATGTTGACTCTTGAGACTGGCCCATTTCTTTTGATCCTGAGTGATTTCCTAGGTCTTATTCTGAGGTTTACTTAGTAAATACAATATTTAGAAAATGTTAATATATTCAAAAATGAACCTGAGGGGAATGTATGACAAGTATTTTGGGGGGGGGGGATGAGTACACATTCCACACCCATTTTCATAAAGCCTGAATGAGGAAAATTAATTTTTTAATACATACCTTTCTTCTATAGCAGATATTTTCATGGATTCAAAGAACAATTTTTGTTTATTATGCCCATGCTATTTCAAAAATAATGCAGCACTCGACCCAGCAGGCAGCATGGTGGTTAAGGCACTGGACATTCCCACATGGCCGACCATGGTTCGAGTCCTGGACCTGGTGGCTTGCTTTCTCACTTTCTCTCTCTCTCTCTCTCTCTCTCTCTCTGGTCAAATGAAAATAAATGAATAAAATTGAATAAATAATTATTAAAAAAATGGAACACCGTGAAGTGTAGTGAGAAACATCAAAACGAAAGCTCTAGTTGTTTAACTGAACATCCTGTTTGTTAGTGTGGGGCAGGTTTCTCAACAGGTGGGTCAGGTTGACTCTTTGGGCCAGAGAACTCTGTGTGGGGAGCTGTCCTGTGCATTGTTGGCTGTTTAGCAGGGTCCCTAGCCCGTAATCACTAGTGTCATTTCTTACCACCCCCAACCTCCTATAGTTTTGACCATCAAAAATATCTCCATACATTGCTCAATATCCTCCTTGAGACAAAAGTCACTCCAAGTTGGGAATCACTGATGTGAAATAATGGGAAGACGACTGGGTGGGTGCTGTGAGGCTTTGGTTCTGGTTTTAATTTTGACACAAATGCACTGGATGACCTTGTGTTACTTACTTCTTCATCTATAAAATGAGGAACTTTGGAAAAGCTTGAAGATTATTGCCAGCCTCCAAATCTCATTATCTCTATAAAAAATGCACTTTGAGATGAAATTTATCATCAAACTAGTGGTACACTCTGTGTACTGTTGGATGGTAGCAAGGTGTACTGAGAGTCTTTTCTAAAGCTGATGTTGGAGCGGAGCACTATTTCACCGAGTAGAGGGCTGCTGCTTTTCAAAAAATTATGTACTCAAATATAGTTACGAACTCTTCTAGTTAAAAAGTTAAATGGGGGGTGGGGGGGTGGCAGGTGACATGGGGTTAAAGGCGTTGGACTCCCACATGGCTAACTGCAGTTTGAGTCCTGGACCTGGCAGCTTGCTTTCTCTTTTCCTTTCTCTCTCTCTCTGGCCAAATTAAAAAAATAATAATAATGATAGGTGGACTTAATTAAATAATTTTTTTAAAAATTTTTTAAAAAATTAATAAAAAGTTAGGCAGGCTTTTTAAACCTTTAATGTGCTGACATGCACTGGAAATCTTTGAAAGGTAGATTTGTAGTACTCTCCAAACTTTTGATCATGGAACTTTTTTTTCACAGAATATTTTAACTTGAAACACATTTTGATAAACAGTAAGATATAGGCATGAGCTCCACTGAATAGGTTATGTTTTGGTATTTTTTATTATAGTCTCTCTTTTCTTTCTTTCTTTCTTTCTTTCTTTCTTTCTTTCTTTCTTTCTTTCTTTCTTGGCTTACTCTTTTATTAATTCACCATGCATATATAGAGTGTTTGTTATGTGGCAGGTACGAGGATTATAGCAATAGCATTAGGTGGGCAATATAACTCTATGGTTAGAAACCTAGCCTGTAAAATGTAAATCCTTCTCATATTTTATTAGAAGGTTATTTTTTGCCTTTCTGAATATAAATATTAACCATCCTGGAAAGAAGAGAGCTTATATAAAAACAAGGAGTTGAGAACTAAGAGGGGAACGCTGGCAGAGGCAAGGCACAGTGGGTCTGGCTTGGTGTGTGAAGGGCTGTGGCTTTGTCCTGTAGGAAGCACGGAAGCTCTGAAGGGTGTTAGCAGTGGATTTGCATTTTAGTTCATTTTGACCACTGTATACATTCAGCCAAAGACAGAAATTTACCCAAGGAAAAAATAAGGATTGAACTGAGGTAGTTGAAATAGTGTTGAAGAAAAGGATTCAGGAAATGTTTGGGAAATAAATTTGGTAGGAGTCATTGAAGGTTGGATACAGACTGGAAGTACAGTCTGTTAGGTGACTAGGAGAATGTGTTCATTAAGTCAATAGGAGTGTATTGAGTCTTTACCAAATGCTAAGGGAATGATTTTACCCTTATGGCACTTAAGATTGTTCGGTAGATTCAGGCAATTAAAGAAGCAGCTCCCAAAGAGGCAGCTCCAAAAAAGGCAGTTAAGTGCCATAATATGGCAGCTACATGGTTCTATAGGGGCTCATTTCAGGGCAACCACCTTAGCCAAGGAGGCCAATGAAGGCTTTCTGGAGAGATTAGGTTTATTCCTGTAACATGAGTAGGTGTTAACCATACTGAAGCTTTTACCGATGGGGTTGGGATGGAGTATATTCCAAGCAGAGGAAGTAGTACATATGAAAGCCCAAAGAGCAGTGTTATTCTTTTTTTAAGCAACGTGATGTGACTTTTTATAATTTTCTAATCCATTTGATAATGAACTCTGTTTTCATGGAGTTAAGTTGTAAAATAACCTAAGGAAAAAGGCATGGCCTATTTCATGTATATGTGTTTTTAAAGATAAATTATTGAAAACCTCAGCAATCACTTTGGAAACTGCTTTTATGTTGATGTCGTCAAGACCCTTGTCAAAAGAATAAACAAAACCTGATTGACCTGGTGGACAAACTCATTCCATACATAATTAAATAGTTAGAGGCTGTGCAGCAAATGCAGCTTTGCCTTTCATCTGAATATGCAGTCTGATGATTTGTAAATCCTTCCTAGTGAGTACAGCAGGTTATTCTGCCTGGGTGGGAGACTTTTTACTAACTTAAGCAGCTGTTTAAACTTTCATAAGCAAAGTAATTATTAAATCTTTCAT